TGGTTATCCCAACAGACAGGTCCTTCTGAACTTGATTCTTCCATTGCGTTCATGGGCGCCCTTGCTTTCGTTGTCCACCCACGAGTGCGGAGTTGAGCGATATTTTCTCCGGAGCGTCGTCATCCATGCGTACAACATGTCAAGCCGGCGCAATTGCTGTATTTTTATGCGCTTAACTATGTCCATGTCGTTAATATATAAAAGGGCATGATCACAGATTTGTAGAGCGTGATTTTTGTTCGTCGAGATAGGACTGTTTTTCAATTGCTTACCGAGCCCAAAGTAGCACCTGTTGGCAAGAGTTATTCTTCGCTTGATCGCCAGGCTGACGTTGTTGGTGGCGTTTCTTTTGGATCCTAGGTAAACAAAGTCCTTTACTACTTCAAAGTTATAGCTGCCAACAGAGACGTGTGTCCCGAAACGCGTGGACTTTTTATATGTTGCCAAGAGGTACTTTGTCTTTCCCTCGTTTATCGTTAGACCAACCTATTTAGCTTCTTTTTATAAACTGGTAAATGCTGCGGTCTCTTTCAGACCTGCGATGTCGAGATCATCTGCATACGCCAGCGGCATAGTTCTTTTATTATATATGGTGCCGCTGCGATTCATTCCAGCTCTTATTACGTTTTCCAGCATCTGATTGAAAGAGTCGCACGAGAGTGAATCGCCTTGCCTAAAACCTCCTTTTGTTTTCAAACGGCGCGGAGAAGTCCTCCCCAATTTGGACAGAGCTGATGGATGTGCTCAACGTCACTACAGAGCCGTATTAGTTTTGCGGGAATCCCAAATTTGGACATGGCGACGTACAGGCAGCTCCTCTCCGTGCTATCAAAATCGATAAAAAGATGGTGTGTGTCGATTTGCTTATTTAGTGTATTCTCCAGGATTTGGCGTCCTGCGGAAATCTGGTCAATGGTGGACTCACCAGGTCTGATACCACACTGGTAAGGTCCAATCAGCTGGTTCGTGAACGGCTTCAGTTTTTCACACAGTATCGCCGAAAAGGACCTTGTATGCAATATAAAGAAGGCTTATTCCGCGATAATTGGCGCAGACGACGGGATCTTCCTGCTTGTGGATTGGGCAAAGTACACATAGATTCCAGTCTGTGGGCATGTATTCATCAGACCAAATTCTGCTTTAAAGCTGGTACGTGCGCCCCACCAACTCTTCGCCACCGGCTTTGAACAGCTCAGAGCAATTTTGCTTTTTACCGGTTTTACAGGTTTTATACAGAAAAGTTGAGGAACAAAACGCACATAGGGGTATTTGACCGATTTAGGCGGCCAAAATTATTTTTATGAAAATTTTAACTCAAAATGCTTAGAAACGACGTATTACGATGTTTAAAACTGTAAATGTTTAAAATCAAGTAAATAGAGGGGGAGGATGTCCAAGGATTCCACCAAAAAAACGAAAAAAAGGTGCTTAAAGTTCGACATCGATAGACTCCATGTTATCGAGGTCCCATTGTAGAAAAATTGAAACCTACGTGTTCGAGGTTATAGTTTGAAACTATCTTAAACAGGGCTGCCACCTTTTAAATTTAAAATTAAATACAGTGTATATAATAGTTTAAGTTAATTATATCAATATGAATATCATATATGGGCAAATCTAAAAAACAGGTAACCTTTGTGTTATTTAGCTTTATTTTCACTATTGTAAACTATATGAAGCTGGTTGCTTTTGGATATAATTCATTGACGTATACTTGAAGCCTCAAAAAAATTTGGACCAATTTGCTGCATAACTTTTGAATTATAGGTGTTTAAATTAAAAAAATAATGAAAACAAGTGAATTTGTTATGTAATTTTTAAAAGGGGAACAATTAATTATGTCAAATTAGTTTCGATAAACATCGAAAGAGCTTTTAAGATTGATAACTGCTCGTTAGATTTCGAGTTTGATTGACTCTCTTGGTACGCGATTTAATATTTATGTGCCCGATTCGGTGATGAAGTAATTTGTTTAAGTACGTCAGATGCATCTCTCATTCCTGCTGACCGTAATTTTATTGTAGTAGCTACAGTCAACTCTCCTGTATCACTACAGTTCCGTAAATTTTCGGTTTTACGTTTCTTCGTTCTATCACTGGACTCAACCAAAGGTTTGGTAGGACGTTCTGGAAGACTGATCGTTTTTGGTATAGAAAAGGATCCTTTAATCCATTCCTGATTATTTTTTATAAAAGTATCGGCTATTCTATGGGCTTCAGTCCACTTTTTTTTTTAATTGGCTTTTAAATTTCGCAAAACTATTTTTTACCACATTTATTTCATTCTTGGAATAATTTTCCGACTTCAGTTCTTGTTTTTGGGCCACATCTATCTTTGCATTCATTGAAGAAATATTGCAGCATTCGGAAACTCGTAAAATTTCTCCGCGAACTATGAACTATGCACACGCGATAGCAAATAAATATCTGATATTTGAGTGTTTAAGCCGTTTGTATTTTATATACTGAAAATAATGAATGTCAAAACTGTTTTATGCAATGCCTAATGTTTTTGATGTAATCAATTCGCCAATATTCGAGCCTACTCTGTATTCAAAAAATTCTTAGGATCTTATTGCCTTAAAAACTGAGTATTCAAAAACTTCTTACGATTTTATTGCCTTAAAAACATATTTTTACTAGAACTTACAGCCAAGCAGAGATTTTTTTTCTAAATGTACTGACAACTACGTATTTTCTCCTCTGTAACTCTCCAAACTTTTCAATTCAACCCATCCTTAGCTTAGCAAAGAGGCATTAAAAAATAACGGAATCTAGTCAACAATTATATTCTCTTCGCCCTACAGGCAGTTATAAAAGAAAAAAGTGCGTTTTTAAAATTCGACTTTTGGCCGCCTAAATCGGCCAAATACCCCCCTGTGCGACGATCAGAAAAATGAGAAATCACCCTGTAAAGTTCTAAAGTTACATACATATGCATTTTAAACTGTTTTTTAATTCTTTAAATTAAGTTAATTGAATTCATGACTTCTCTTTCTTTTATTTTTTCTTGTTACAGGTCATATGAGCTCCGGCTCAGAGAAGTCCTTCAATGCACCGCCACAACGACATGGCGGCAAGAAGAGCGGAAAATCGGTGGTTTAAGTGTATTGGGAACGAGTGGTTGCGTGGGTGCACTATTAAATAATAAACCTACATACATACTAACAGAGGTGGCACTAATTTACGAATGTAGTTCAAATACTTAAGTAAGGGAGACTAATACAATAAATAAAACTAACGCATAGTTTATTTAAAATTGTTATACATACATATACATCCCTAACAGCTAAAACGAGAATGAACAACATTAGAATATGAACAATTAACGCCAACAGCAATAGCAATATCAATGTCAGTGTATACAATATTCCAGTGTTTTGCATACATTACTCGCACGTAAGCGACGTTTTATTAACGAGATTCTATATTCTGCCAAATGTTATCTAATTCCCAGCATTTCGCTGTTGCACTTATTTTAATTTCGAAATCAGTAACGAATGTAAAATTTAAATCCACTAAATTATTACAAACCTAAGTTGTTTTTTATATCGGTTTTTGTCAATAAAACAATAAAGTTTTTGTATAAATCTTTGCAAAAACTGGAGTAAATGTTCAAAGAGGTGTGCAATGTGCAACTGTATGGCGTCAGCAAGCAGTTGTGGTGGTGTTATGCAAGCTGTAATCCCAGTTTGCTCACCATTGGACTTCCGAATGACGCTTAAGTATAAATAAATGTTTCTTCTTTGTATGTAATTAGGTCTATGTTGTAATATATGTTTATGAGAATTCAATTTTAGAAGGAGTCATGTATAAACAACATCATAATAGGAGGAACTGAATATCAAATTTAATATTAACGAAAATAAATAACTAAATTCGTACAACTATATACTTAGGGTTTTTTTAATATGGGCCTTTCCTGCGTTATGTATCATAAAGACAATAGTACTAGGTTTCGGATCTAAAATTTTTTTTTTTTTGTCATAAATAGTAATTATTGTCATTCCCACGACAGCCCGTTCTACGTACCGGAATGACTCGGGTTTAACCCGACCAAGGGCTGTTGTTTCGGAGATATAACCCCGTCTAGGTCGGTGAAATATCTCAAACGTTGTTGGGGGCTACATCTGCTTCGTACTCTTCTGCTCAGGGCTGGCATCTGGTCAAACCGTAGGCGAGTAACTTTAGGTTGGGTGACTAGTTTATGTATGTGGTTTGGCAATATTATATGGATCTTAACGCGAATTACAGTAGTTTTGGAAAATTGGTAGTTGGTACCTATTCGGTAAACATTTTAACTAAAACGTCATTATTTCAGCTTACTGTTGGTATTCTGGTGAATGATATTTCTAAAAAGCCGCTTTGGATGGAAAGATGAGCAAATTTACAAACATATGTACAAGGCGAATAAATATAACATATGTGTGTATGTATATATGTATGTATGTATTTTTTGTAAAATTTTGTATTTTATTTAAAATATAAAGGTAACAAGCTTAGCCCAAAATAATATAAATAAATACGTCGTACTTGTATGATTTACGCATTTCATTAGGTGGAGAAAAACCATCGAGCACCGAGTACCAAGCTCGATGTTAAAAGCCTGATTATGACAACTTAACTTAACTTAACTGAACATAGAACTTAGAAAATCAAAATGAAACAGATTCGACGTGGCATTAAGTTACGTTCAATTATAAGCAACATCCATTTAAGAGAATGTTTAAGTGAGAGCCTGTAAGTTACAATAAGTTGCCATAATCAGACCATAAGATCTATAATGTAAGCTCGCAGAAGTATTCTTCAATGGAAACACGAAAATGATCATGCCTATTACTAAGGCGAATTAATATAGGGTGACAGCAGGACTACAACAAAAATTTACATGTACATATCGTGTACAGTTGCAAAACCGCCTAAATCGCCATTGTGATAAAAATGAGATTTGGTAATCCTGAACTCTAGGCATCGAGATTTATCCATAAGAATCGTAAAATCGTTATTGAAACAACGGATTTGTAAAATAATAGCTAGAGAAAATACAGCCTATCCAGGCAATGCCTTCAAAGTAAAACCGTTATTTCGCTCCAGTAAAATTTTAGTGCCGTAAGATGGGCTGTTTTGCAATTGGTCGTTGGGCGGTTTTGCAAAAACATCGACGATATGTATTTTGTTTTTGCTTTGGCGGCATAAACTGTCGAAATCTGTAAGTGTGTGGAAATGCAAACAAAATTTTTCACAAGAAGCTGTGAGGCGAAACACATACACAAAATCAGCTGATCTAGTAACACCGCCTTGCCTATTACGGTATTTGTCGGACCGTTATAGGCAATAGGCATGGTACAATAATTACAGGTATTGTCTTCCCAGAGAGCGCATATTCCGATCTGCCTTATTTAAAAAATATCATTGTTGCCCCTCACTAAAACGTTTAATAATAATAATAGATTGGCGCTTATCATATGTTAGTGTTTGGCCGAGCTTCTCCTCCGATTTGTGGCGTGCGCCTTGATGTTGTTACACAAAGCGGAGGGACCTACAGTTTTACGCCGACTCCGAACGGCGATTGTATTTTTATGAGAAGCGGTTTCTCATGGCAGAAATACACTCGGAGGTTTGCCATTGCCTGCCGAAGGACGACCGCTGTTAATAAAAAACCTTTTTTCTATATTTTTTGCGATGTTGCTTTGACCAGGGCTTGAACCAGGGCGTTGCGTTGAGGTTTTAAATTTACTCACAAACTCACACACACATTTTCATTTTCAATCTCAAGCAACAACAATTTCGAACAATTTATCATGATAAAAACATAGCAAGGTATAACCGTTCTCTCAATTTGTCGGCCATGATTTTTTTTTGAAGTTTGCCAACATTTTAAAATCATATAAAAGTGAAAATAAAAAAATGAAATTTTTCGAAATTGTTGTTGCTTGAGATTGAAAATGAAAATGTGTGTGTGAGTTTGTGAGTAAATTTAAAAATTAAATTGTTTGGAAACGTCAAGAATTTTAAAAGTGACTCTCAGCGGTTCTACCTTACTATATTTTTATCATGGAATCAACATTGAACTGCGTCGAAATGAAAATAAGGGAGCACGAATTTCGATGTGAAGCAAAACTCTCTGGTAATTATTGTACCATGGGTAATAGGAATGTATCTGACGGATGCCATTCGCGTGGATCGAATCCTTCACCCTCGCTTGTTTTGACAGTGGGGATTGGATTGGACCGTGCGGGTCTTAATGCATGCATCACCTTATTTGTGAATATCGCTGAATGCGTTATGTACTCACATATATATATATATATGTATGCACTCTTCTCTTTTTGTCTACACCTTTTCCAACAGTATTTCAGAAAAACACAAATGTATTTCAGAAAGGGCCAAACGAATTTCAGAGAAGCTCAGATGTATTTCAGAAAAAGCCAAATGAAATTCAGAAAAACCACTGTATTTCAGAAAAGCTCAAATGATTTTCTGAAAAACTTAAAAGTATTTCAGAAAAGGGCAAGTGTATTTTAGAAAAACACAAATGAATTTCAGAAAAGCACAAATGTATTTCATAAATATATTTTTAGAATATTATTAACTACGAAAAGTTTTGCAATGGCAAACCTCCGAGTGTATTTCAGAAAAGGACAAATTTATTTCAGAGAAGCTCATATGTATTTCAGAAAAGACCAAATGTATTTCAGAAAAAGCCAAATGAAATTCAGAAAAACCACTGTATTTCAGAAAAGCTCAAATGATTTTCTGAAAAACTTAAAAGTATTTCAGAAAAGGGCAAGTGTATTTCAGAAAAACACAAATGAATTTCAGAAAAGCACAAATGTATTTCATAAAAATATTTTTAGAATATTATTAACTACGAAAAGTTTTGCAATGGCAAACCTCCGAGTGTATTTCTCATAAATTCCATTTTCCGTTCTGAGGCGGCGGAAAGATGTACATCCCTTCATTTGTGTAATAACATCAAGACGCACGCCACAAATTTGGGAAGCTCGGTCAAATACTTAGCAAAAGTGTAAGCTCCATAAAATATTATTATACATCTATTTACAAATTAAACCTCTACTCTTCCATCATTTCCCCCTTCGACCAATTGAAGAAACCAGATATGAACACGAATAATGCAGAGCTTGTAACGACGCGGTTTCATTACATACATATGTGCGTATGTTGATGTATGTATGTATGTTTATTACATGCCAACAGCTAATGAATGCCAAAGCATCTGCGAAGAAAATAAATGAGTACGCAATAGTACGAGCACAATCTGCGGTAGATATAGGTTCTTTCGCTTGCTGTATTACTTGATCCATGTATTGCAGTCGCCTTCCTACCATTCCCGGTCCATCCGTGGACATTAGTTTTAGCATAATTCCATACATTCCAATGGGGCTCAGCATTGAGTATGGCCCCAGCCGCAAAAGGGTGCGTTATCCATTACTGCCTACCACTTGCTCAAGTCTCGCATGGTTGCTGTGTTATCGCAGACCAACACTAAATCGCAAAGTACGTTGCCCACGCTAGTCCATTTTTCTAAAAGTCGCCAAACCCATAAGGCAGTGCTCATTTGACCTTTTCTGAAAATGAAGCAGAAATACGCTCGAAAGTTGCCATTGCCAAATTTTGCTAGTTAAAAATATTTTCTGAAATCCATTTGCCCTTTTCTGAAACCCCTTTGTGTTTTTTTGAAATACATTTGCCTTTTCTGAAATATCTACAATTGCGTTTTTCTGCGTTCTTCATTTGGCTTTTTATACCCGAGCGCACTTGTGGACAAGGGTATTATAACTTTGTTCACATAATGGTTGTTTGTAACAGGCAAAATGAATCGAGATAGATATAGACAAATGTATACATAAATGATCAGGATGAAAAGAGAAATCGATTAAGCGGTGACTGTCTGTCCGTCCGTCCGTCTGTCCGTCCGTCTGTGCACACGATAACTCGAGTAAAAATTAAGATATCTTAACGAAACTTGGTACGTGTACTTCTTTCGGGCGTAGGACGGATGGTATTGAAAATGGGCAAAATCGGACAATAACCACGCCTACCTCCCATATAACGGTAATTTTCAGAAATACGAAAACTGCGATATTTTAGTAACTACTGAAGATTATTAACTCAAAATTGATATTTACAATAATTTTTAGACGACAAATAAGAATGTTGTAAATTTTTGAAAAATGGGCGTAGCCACGCCCACTTATGGATACATGTGTATATCTTGGCAACCGCTGGACCGATTTCTTCCAAACTCGGCACAGTTATTGGCCTTGGTACAGGATACCAAATTTTTAAAATCGGACAATAACCACGCCCACAGCTCATATAACGGTAATTTGGAGAAATGCGAAATTTTCGATAAATCAGTAAATATTAAAGCCAATTAATTCAAAATTGATGCTTTAAACAATTCCTTACCAGGAAATACGTCTATAATAAAATTTTGAAAAATGGGCGTGAAACCGCCCACTTATGATCACATATCGCTAGCTTAGAGTGAAAAGTTGCTAAGTCCGCTTTTTATGAAAACTCATATTTTGATACAGGAGGCTAGAGAAATTAACAATGCATCGTTTTGAAAAGGATAAAGATCCTTGTTTTATGTTTTCTCGTTTATATTCAATGAAACGAAAATTTGCTAAGTCCAAAAAAAACTCCGTAATTTCGATAAGTCGAAAATAGTACAAAATCTTTTGATAAAGATCGAATTCCTCTGGTGCGTATGGAGTTTTGCTTTGCTTTAAACAGTCAAAATGCTGTATTCTAAGTTTTGCGACATACTTGAAGAAAATGGCTTTAGAAGTTTTTTTCCTCTCCTGCACAATTTTTGAATTGGGACTTAGCAACTTTTCACTCTAAGCTAGCGATATATGTATCTC